GTTAGTCAGGTTTGTGATGAGCGTGCGTTTAGCTTACTGAATTATAGGCTAATGTGACTACATCCCTGTAATGAGAATGTATGTTCATATCTGTATTACTAGGTTATAATTAAAGATACATGTTACTGCTGTGTGCTTTAACTTATAATGTAATTCAATTACTTTTTTAGGACTTTAACTTGTGAGTGTATAGTGTAGCGTACTCCGTGCCAAAACATGAAAACATTTAAGTTAAAAAAAGAAAGAGTAGAGTTACAGTTTGAATTTTTAATTTAAAACACTGTTTCTCTCTGTAGGCTGTCTAGTGAGACTTTGGAAAACTTTTTGATGGCATGTAATAGAAACTCAAAGGCGTCTTTAGCGTGCAAGGTATGTACCTTTCCTTTGATATGAATACTGGTCTATTTACCTGCTGTGTTTATGTAAATATCAGGCTGGCAGACTCCCCGGCTAACTCCACAGTTTGGGAACACAGTATATCTTGTTCCATGATAGTATGGTACATTAAAGGACATTTTTCCATGAGTGTGTGTGTGTGTGTCTGCACGTGCGCGAGTTGTTGCGTGGCACAGACCTGTTACATGAACACGACACCCCCCCCATGAGAACAGGTTAACGCCTGTATGTTATCACACAGCTAATGGTCATTTATCATTGTGTTATTGTCTTGTCTCCTCTCTGCAGAATGAAAATAAGATGTCTCACACAGCTAATAGTCATTTATGTCATGTTATCGCCCTCTCTCTGCAGAATGAAAACAATATGCTTAAAGGTGCACTGTGCAGAAATCGCTCCGGAATTTCCTGGTGGCTAAAATTAGAATAGTTAGCCTAACCAAAAATATTGTATTTTCAGCTGTTTGAAGCTGGTGTACAAAACCGAAAGTAAAAGCTGCTAGTCCCCTGTAGCTCAGTTGGTAGAGCGTGGCGCTTGCAAAGCCAGGGTTGTGGGTTCGTTTCCCACGGGGGGCCGGTATGAAAATGTATGTACTCACTAACTGTAAGTCGCTCAGGATAAGAGCGTCTGCTAAATGACTAAAATGAAACTTAGGAACGTAAACATAAAGCTGGTGCTCATTGACAGATCTATAACTCATATTTCTATGTGAATTTGGTCGGGTCGCCCAATTAGTTACATATTGCAGCTTTAAAGAGTAACGTTCATGAAATAAAAAAAAGAAATCATTGAAAACCAGATGTTTTAGGTTTAGTTATAGTGAAACACGTCAATTCTGGTCTTCATTTTGACAGTTCGTTGCAAAACTTATACATTTTTGTTTTTGAGTAGTAAATCTAGCTCTTGTTGCCCATAGCCATCAGTTCTCAAAGTAAGGGTTGCGACCCCATGTGAGGTCGCCTGATATGCAAATGGGTGGTGGGAGAATTTCCAAAATCCTGGTAAAAAATAAATACAAAATAAAATATTTTGTCCCTCAAAATCATTCTAATAAGATTAACCTTAAAAATCGAAATGAAAATTATTCAAATCTAAAAGTTACAATTCAACTACAGAGCGCCCTTAGAATGTGGGAAAAGGCCGCACTTGACCATTGCACTTGAATCATTCCCCCGGAGAATGGCTAAGCCACTACCGTATGAAACCACACACTATTGCAGAGACTTTGATATTACCGGCCGCAATTGATATGGTAAAAACAATGTGTGGGGAGGCAGAGGCACAGAAATTCACATCAAATACCTTTGTCAGATCATACTTTGAAACTAAGAATTGATGCTATAGCTAGCAATCCAGAGGAAACTGACTGAATGACTCAAAAACTTCCCACCTTATGTTCTCCAAATGGACGTTAGCTGTGAGGGCCGAGATGCCCATGCATTGACTTTAGTTCACTACATGTCGGGAGATGCTATTCACGAGGACATATTGTTCTGTCTCACGATTCCCGAGCATGAAACAGCACAGGGGATGTTCAGTGTGCTGCGTTGCTATATTGACGAAAAACAGATTCCATGGCATCGAATGGTGGGCTTTTGCACAGATGGGGCTCCATCTATCATAGGACGGCAGGCAGGCCTCTGCACTCTTCCATATGGGCACATTGTATGATACACCCACTGAGCTGTAATGGATTCACTGAGAGCAACTGGTGGCAAAAGAGCTGAGCGCAGAACTCTGAGATATGCAGCAGGTAACTTCAATTGTAAACTACATTGCGCACGCCTGTTCGCAAAACTGTGGCGATATGGGATCAGAGCATGACTTCTATTTCACACCGAGGTGGTTATCGAGGGGAAGTGTTGGAAATATTTTTTGAATTGAGATAGGAACTGTCATTCACAATGGATGTAAAAAACAGACTTTGTTGACTTTCTGTGTAATGAAAAGAAAATGTGTCTCCTTGCCTATGTAACAGACATATTTGGGAAACTGAACGCAAGCATGCAGGGGAAATACAAAAAAATTCCACAGATGAGTGACCGAATCAGCGAAATCCGTTTGACTGTGATCCTGGCTCAGTTGACATCCCGGTAAGTGAAATCGACCATCTGGTCGAGCTGTCACGTGGCCAAAATGCTGCAGACAACGCATTCACGGGTCACTACGGAGGAATTTCGGTTCCTGACTCAGAGGGAATACTGTGCCGTCTCCCTCCGAGCATTAAAACGAATGGTACGCTGATTCAGTGCTCTCGTCTGCATTAAAAACAAATATCGATCCAGGTTGGATGTGACAGGAGAGATGAGGTGCGCACTGTCGACCACACCCCCTGACTTTGTGAAGCTCCGACGTGACATGCATCAAGCCACACACACATCTCATTAGTGGTGGTGAGATAAGATACATGATGTCAGACTAATTTGCAGTTGACTGTCAAAGCCCCACATTAAAAGTATGTGATGGTGAGTTGAGAATACAATCAGAAATACTGTCAGAATGTTTTGCAATTGACTGCCATAGCCCCAATTCAAAAAGTAAACATAGGCTGTTAATTACATACTTTTTTTTCACATGGTTGGGGTTGCCAGAATTTTCAGATATCAAAATGGGGTCGTAGGCCAAAAAGTTTGGGAACCTCAGGCCTAGTGCTTCAACTCTACCATTGAAATCGTGATGTAGGCACCTTGAGAAGGTACCCCTACCTCATCTCAAGGGAGGGGTTCAGTATGAAATACACTCCCTTCTAGACAGTGGTGTAAAGTACTTAAGTAAAAATACTTTAAAGTACTTCTTAAGTAGTTTTTAGGGGTATCTGTACTTTACTATTTATATTTTTGACAACTTTTACTTCACTACATTCCTAAATAAAATAGTGTACTTTTTACTCCATACATTTTCCCTGACACCCAAAAGTACTCGTTGCATTTTGAATGCTTAGCAGGACAGGAAAATGGTCAAATTCACGCACTTATCAAGAGAACACCCCTGGTCCTCCCTACTGCCTCTGATTTGATGGACTCACTAAACACACATGCTTCGTTTGTAAATGATGTCTGAGTGTTCGAGGGTGCCCCTGGCTATCTGTAAATTTAAAAAACAAGAAAATGGTGCAGTCTGGTTTGCTTAGTACAAGGAATTAGAAATTATTTATACTTTTACTTTGATATTTAAGTATATTTTAGCAATTACATTTACTTTTGATACTTAAGTATATTTAAAACCAAATACTTATAGACTTTTACTCAAGTAGTATTTTCCTGGGTGACTTTCACTTTTACTTGAGTCACCTCTGATCTGATGGACTCACTAAACACACATGCTTTGTTTGTAAATTATGTCTGAGTGTTGGTGTGTGCCCCTGGCTAACTGTAAATTAAAAACAAAAACAAAAAAATGGTGCCGTCTGGTTTGCTTAATATAAGGAATTAGAAATGATTTATACTTTTACTTTTGATACTTAAGTATATTTGTATTAAGGTATCTTTACTTTTACTCAAGGACGACAATTGGGTACTTTTTCCACCGCTGCTTCTAGATGTGCTGGGTGGTATCACCTCAAGGCATACTGTAAAAGCAGGTGACAGCGTGCCTTATTTGGTCTTGGTAAGTGGAGTGTGCCGATATATATTTGCATGATGCTTCCTTGACTAGACTACTGACGTTACACAAAATTCAAAAGGCAGTAGGCGAAGGCACATTTCCGCATTTGACCAAATTCAACGTTTTTTGCTTACTGTTTCATACACATCTATGTGGTTTTGAGGATTGTACGTTTATATTCTTAGCTACATCCGTCCTAACAAGAAATCGATGACAACGGTGGTCATGTTAACTCGTATTTCTTTCCCAACCGCTATGGTTGATTGGGGCGCAGCCCGCTAACAGTTGGCTCGTAGGTCAGTGGTTGTGCGTTTGAATCCCACATGAGGCAGATATAATTTTTTCACCAAATCCTTTATTTACAATATACATCCCGTGCCCACACGCTTATAATTCTGAAAAGTGAAAGGCTACCCTTGTAGTAGTTGTAGGTTTTTACACAGGACCCAAAACCAATCTGTGAGTTAATTTGACCATTGGGAAAAGAGCTACTGTGTAAATACTGCAATGTGGGTTGGATTGAATTGAGCCCCTAATCTTAATTTTCAAGGTGATGATTGCACTTTTCTTCCCAACACAAAAGCGCATGAAATGTTAAGAGTCCACATTTCAAATCGTTTTTGGAGCATCCCATGGGGGATTAGAATTTACACTGCAAGTGGCAATAGATGTCAGGAACGCGCAGCCTAACCGCTGTGAGCCAACTGTCCAAGGCAGTATTTGCTTGCGATGGACATTAGTTTATTATCAGAGCGTGCCAGTAGACTTCTGGTAAGTACGTTTACCCACTCCCAAAATGTATATTTATGAGCAATTCCCACCAACAACTTCACACCTGAATGCATTTTTTTTTATTTTTATATTTGAAAGCGTTGGGCAAAGGCTGAAATTGGGGTTGAGAGTTAACCGAACAACGTGTTGTTATTAAAGTTATGTTAATACTCTTATGTCTGTTACAGTGCATTGTTCATTGAGACTGTTCATGTTTCTTCTTCTGCAGAATGAAAATAAGATGTGTCCTGTTACATAAATTGAGACAGAGGTGCTTCCTGTTGTCCCTGGCCCTGCTGGTGGTGTGTCTGCTGAAGCTGGTCTATGTTAAAGTAACGGTGAGGAACAGCTTCTACATCGAGCCCTATGGAATCACAGACAGCTCCTCACAGAACCCCAACCACCAGTACAACATCAACTGCACCGCCATCTACCAACTGGACCCTGTGGAGGTAGATTGATACATTGAATTTATTTGACAATTTAAATATGTAAAAAAAAATATATCTATCTATATACATTTAAAAATAACTATAAAGGATAAGACAGTAAAGTAATTGACTTTTTCCCTTACGATCCTTTTGTCAAAGGTAGGGAAGTCATTGGAGATCAGACGCAAAGTCATTGTGGACTTGGAGGATGACAGCATTGTGTCTTTGACCTCGGACTGTCAGAGGTACTTGGGCTTTCTATACGGTACTTTGTAACTTGCCTCGTTATCTATAGTGACTGTGATTGTTTTTTAATGTTGTGAGTATTTTGTATTGGGTTTTTCTATGGCTGTAAGGATGACAACCTCATTTCCCCTTGGGGGTTTATAAAGTACTATCTCATCTCTCATATCATCTAATCTCAGGTACATCGAGACAAGAGGATATGACATCATCCCGGTGTCGGAAGAGGAGCGGAGGTTCCCGCTGGCGTACTCCCTGGTGGTGCATAAGAACGCTGCCATGGTGGAGAGGATCTTCAGGGCCACCTACGTCCCTCACAACCTCTACTGCATCCACTATGACCAGAAGGTAGGGCCGGCAGCCAGGTAGCCTGGAGGTTAGAGGGGCAGGCTCGCTACCGGAAGGTTGCCGGTTTGAATCCTGGACCGGGTAGGAAAGAAATCTGAGTGGATTTGTGCTGACTACTTGAGGGTTGTTAGTGATGTACGTGCATGCGTATATTGGAGGGGTTAGGTACAGCTGCAGACACATTTCTGTCTCGTATGGACAATTATTAATAATCGTCTCCTTCTAGTCCTCTCAGAGCTTCATAGCAGCCATGAGGAACCTGGCTCACTGCTTCCCCAACCTCTTCCTAGCCTCCAAGCTGGAGTCTGTGCAGTACGCCCACATCACACGGCTCAACGCCGACCTCAACTGCCTCAATGACCTGTTAGAAAGGTCAGAGGTCAAGTGGAAGTATGTCATCAACCTCTGCGGCCAGGACTTCCCCCTCAGGTAAGAAAACAACACTTTTACAGATTGTTTTACTCATAGTGTAATTGTTTTTTATAATGTTTTATTGTCACATACACCGGATAGGTGCAGTGAAATGTTTTTACAGGGTCAGCCATAGTAGTACGGTGCCCCTGGAGCCAATTAAGGTTAAGTGCCTTGCTCAAGGGCACATCGACAGATTATAGTCCTAGTCCTTATCTGTAGTCTTTTAAAAATCGTATTTATAGTCATATACTCCTGAAATGGCCCACCTATAGCACTAGCTTCTCTGGTCAGTAGTATATACAGTAGGTCAGTAGTATATAAGGGGAATAGGGGGTTATTTTGGACACAGCCATAGTCTTTATCTGTAAAGTCTTGAAAAGCACTGTACAAATTAAATGTATACTAATGATTATTATTATCATTAGGTCGAACGGTGAGCTGGTGTCGGAGCTGCAGGCGCTGAATGGTGCCAACATGCTGGAGACCTCCCGTCCCAGTGAGCTGAAGAAACAGCGCTTCCGTTTCCAGCACCAGCTGAAGGATGTGCCCTACGAGTACCGCCGCTTACCTGTCCGAACCACACACGCCAAGGCACCGCCGCCGCACGACATCGAGATGTTCATCGGTAGCGCCTACTTCGTTTTGTCCCGTGAATTTGTCCGTTACGTCGGAACCAGCCGGGTGGCGAGGGACTTCCTGGAATGGTCAGCTGACACGTACTCCCCGGACGAACACTTCTGGGCGACGTTGACGAGAATCCCCGGTGTACCGGGAGAGATCTCCCGGTCTGCCCCAGATGTGACAGACTTGAAGAGTAAGACACGTCTGGTGAAGTGGAATTATCTGGAAGGGTCTCTGTACCCTCCCTGCACTGGGACTCACATGAGGAGTGTCTGTATCTATGGGGCTGCAGAGCTGCGATGGTTGCTGAACTATGGCCACTGGTTTGCTAACAAGTTTGACCCCAAAGTGGACCCGGTGCTTATCAACTGCTTGGAGGAGAAATTGGAAGAGAAACGTAGACGATGGGAAAACACGGTGCAGAATTGAAAAGGAAAAACGACTGTAAATTAAATTGGATGGGAGAATCATTTCATTTGTGGGTTTATTTGGAAGATTTACCCAGCCTGCAGATGAGGTACTTTGCTCCACTAGCAACTAACTGCAAGGAATAAGTCCGATTCTGCAGTGGCAGGATATTCTTGTTTTACAAAAAAATGTTTTTATGTCTACTGAATACTAGTTCAAACTAGTTGAACCTGACTGTTTTTCAATTGAAAATGAAGTGTTGAAGTTCAGTTGAACTGTTCGAACTGTTGAACGGCTTCGCCCAACTGTTTTTTAACGATGTCCAAGATGGACGTTTTAGAGGATAGTGAAACAAGACGATCGATGGCCTAAATATCTACACTACTAGATTCTGTTAAGGATATCGCAAAGAACTTGTTACGGTAATGTCACATGTTGCAATAACACCTAATGGAATGTCTCATATTGATACCAGATCCAATGAGAAAGGAATTTAGATTGAATTGACAGTCATTTTTGTTATTCTCTGAGATGCTTTCACGCGGGTAAAAATGCTAAACTCTTTACCAAACCAACAATACCAAAGACACTAAACTGTAACAAAACGGCACATCAAAACTGGATGTCAGGTTTTTATACGTTTTCATGGAAACACTTTTTTTTGTATTAGTATTTTAGTATTTACGATTAGTATTTTAGTATTTACGATTAGTATTTTAGTATTTATCATCAAGATGATAGTATATATTTGTAGAGAGGGGAGTTTGATACAGCAGTAACGCAACAAGGTTGATATCTCTAATTATGAATGATTTATTTCTTAATAAAACTATCACTCTGAATAGTTTCTTAAGGGATGATTCATGAAGTGGTTTTACTTGGTCAGTATAAAACCTGTGTATCTTGTTCCCTACCCTAGCCCACTGGCTATCCATAAGAAGGCTTATGCTAAGGCCTATATCGTACCTGAAGGTTAGGAATTGTAATGTGATAAGTAGGCTTTGTACTGTATTGGGGGTAAGTTCAGTGTTGTGTTTTTGAGGTAGACACACTGTTATACGCTGGTGTTCCCCTCCCACTACCTGCTGCTCCATCTACCTGTACTTGTTGATACAAACTGACGTTTTTAATCTCCTCTACGACGAGTCCACAGCCCAGAGCTCTAAAGACTTGAGGACTCTGCAGCGCTAATATATTATACATCAACTGTGCATTGGCCGAGCGGGCGGAGACCAGCCTCTATAGGTCAGGCTGCCTAGTCTCTGGTCCACACTCTGACTCAGGCCCTGGACACAGTCCTCAGAGTGCTGCCAGGAAGGAGGGAGGGAGGAGATGGAGGAAGGAGAGGGAAGGAGGAGAGGAGGATGGAGAGAGGGAAGGATGGAGGGGGGGGAAAGGAGGGAGGGGGGAAAGAGAGAAGGAGAGGAGGGAGCCTCTCCTACTACTGACAGCCAAGAAAGTAATGTCTCCCCTCCGCCCTCCACCCTGCAGCTTTAAACAGATGACACAACTCAGCAGCTGCTGCTGCTGTTACCAAGCCAATGCTGATGCAGTCGGAAATGTGATCGTTTGTGATGCTATGAAGCTTGTGAATTTTAATGTGCCAGGTTACCACAACAAATGATGTAGCAGATAGCAGGACAGGTTGTTGGTTTGTGTTGCAGACAGGGCCGGCTGGTTGGCCGGCTGGTGCTAAGCTCCACTGTGTCAATCAGGTGTCGTCTTTCATAGTGGGACTCTTAGCCTGCGTCCCAAAAAGCCCCCTTTTCCCTATACAGTTCCCCCATAGGGCTCTGGTCAAAAGTAGTGCACTATATAGGGGATAGGGTGCCATTTGGGACGTAACCTTAATGGAGTGATGGTAGAGAGGGTGTCAAATGGACATAATTTCTACACACAGTGCACAGTGACAGAGCTAGTTATTCAACTGTTGTTAAGGCCATTTGGGCTTTCATGGTTATAGAAATAATTATTTAATAATGGACCAATTTTGAGTTCCAATAATGTAATATATAGTATTTCACCTGATGTGTAACCAACCATGTTATTAATGGGCTGCAATTAAAACGGCTACCTGCTACATTATTTGTTGTGTGTGACAGCTGAATATTACTATTATTACTACTAATCACAGGAGGCTGCTGAGGGGAGGACGGCTCATAGTAATGGCTGGAATGGAGTGAATGGAATGGGATAAAACACATGGAAACCATGGAAACCATGCATTTGATGAGTTGGATACCATTCCATCTATTCCGTTCCAGCCATTACTATGAACCCGACCTTCCCAATTAAGGTGCCACCAACCTCCTGTCCTACTAACACACAGTAATACAGACAAGCACTGTATCTGCTTCTAAATGATCGTACTATAGTGCAGTCTCTCTGATCTCCCAGCAGTGTCTCTGATCTCCCTGCAGTCTCTCTGATCTCCCTTCAGTCTCTGTGGCAGGTGTTAAACTGAACATTAACATTACAGTAGAGTATTGATTAATGTGCACACACACACACACGTAAAGGCAAGCGCACACGCACACACACACACACACACACAGGTGCCCAGATAAGCCGTACATTGGAGTATTGATTAATGAGGAGTCACAGGTCGTTAAAAGGTCTCTAATTGGCCCCCAGGCGATCACCAGACAGGAAACAGCTGGAGTGAAGCTCACTGATTGGTCTGGTAATGGGGGGGATTCCCCTCATTTCTCTAATGTAAAGGTCCATGAGCCATAAAAACATCCTGTGCAGACCATAGGAGTTGGCAAAACAGCACAAACAAATCTGGGACCAGGCTACCATAAAATATTTGAGCTGTAGCTAGTTTACCAAGGTGACGGTAGAACCAGCACAAAAGAACGGTTGCCGTTAACAACAGAGACAACACCTTTAAGCTGTTTCAGGTGCAGCAGGTGTCAAATGCATAGACAGAGAGAGAGGGAGGAGCGAGAGAGGTGTCATGCATAGGAAGAGAAAGAAAAAGAGAGGAGAGGTGGCATCACAGCCCGTCTAAGACAGGTATTTTGCCCATTGAACATCAGCTCCTGACAATGACCTCAATTCATCCTTGTTCTACAGCATTTAGGGTTGTTGAGGACGGGTGAAATGAACATGAAACCTCCTCCCCTGCTCTCTGTCTGTCTGCAGGTACACACACATAATGGACAATAAGCATCATTATCTTTCCCCTCTGCTGGTATGTTGGACCTGGCCCAAGTTGAGTTTTGTTTTTCCTCTTCTCTCCTTATGACAGACTGGCTCTCTTCCTGACAGACTGGCTCTCTTCCTGACAGACTGGCTCTCCTTATGACAGACTGGCTTTCCTTATGACAGACTGGCTCTCCTTATGACAGACTGGCTCTCTTCCTGACAGACTGGCTCTCCTTATGACAGACTGGCTTTCCTTATGACAGACTGGCTCTCTTCCTGACAGACTGGCTCTCTTCCTGACAGACTGGCTCTCTTCCTGACAGACTGGCTCTCTTCCTGACAGACTGGCTCTCTTCCTGACAGACTGGCTCTCCTTATGACAGACTGGCTCTCTTCCTGACAGACTGGCTCTCCTTATGACAGACTGGCTCTCTTCCTGACAGACTGGCTCTCTTCCTGACAGACTGGCTCTCCTTATGACAGACTGGCTCTCTTTATGACAGACTGGCTTTCCTTATGACAGACTGGCTCTCCTTATGACAGACTGGCTCTCCTTATGACAGACTGGCTCTCTTCCTGACAGACTGGCTCTCCTTATGACAGACTGGCTTTCCTTATGACAGACTGGCTCTCCTTATGACAGACTGGCTCTCTTCCTGACAGACTGGCTCTCTTCCTGACAGACTGGCTCTCTTCCTGACAGACTGGCTTCTCTTATGACAGACTGGCTCTCTTCCTGACAGATGGCTCTCTATGACAGACTGGATCTGGCTTCTGATTCCTACAGATGGCTCTCCTTATGACAGACTGGCTCTCTTTCCTGACAGACTGGCTCTCCTTATGACAGATGGTCTCTCTTCCTGACAGACTGGCTCTCCTTATGACAGATGGCTCTCTTTTATGACAGACTGGGCTTTCCTTATGACAGACTGGCTCTCCTTTGACAGACTGGATCGTTATACAGGACTGGCTTTCCTTATGACAGAACTGGCTCTCCTTATGACAGACTGGCTCTCTTCCTGACAGACTGGCCTCCTTATGACAGACTGGCTCTCTTCCTGACAGACTGGCTCTCTATGACAGACTGGCTTCTCCTATGACAGATGGTCTCTTCCTGACAGATGGCTCTCCTTATGACAGACTGGCTCTCTTTATGACAGACTGGCTCTCTTCCTGACAGACGGGCTCTCCTTATGACAGACTGGCTCTCCAACTACTGAGGTGCTGTGTCATCATGACTACTTTTTGACCATCAGAGCCTTCAGGGTGGTTTTTATCAGTGGCTTTGTCTGTTTGTGTGGTACAAATTAAAGGCGGGGAGTACGACCTCGCTCACCCCATTCACTAATGACTTGCCTGATTTAATCGACTAGACTGTGGCTCACAGTTCCAAGATTGTTTGTCACAAGAAGAGGGATGAAAAACGTTCTGTCCTACAGCGCCTTCGGAAAGTTTTCAGACCCCTTGACTTTTTACACATTTTGTTACGTTACAGCCTTATTCTAAAATTGATTAAATATTTTTTTTCCCTCATCAATCTACACACAATACCCCATAATGACAAAGCAAAAAACTGTATTTTGAAATGTTTGCAAATGTGACCGACTGGCTCGATTCAAAATTTGAAATTGTGTTTTTTTACATTGGATAAAAGTAGAGACTAGTAGAGCTAGAAAATGGTATATCATACACTACAGTTGAGGAACAATGTGAAAGTAATTCTGCTTTGAAAGTTAATAAACTTCACTTTTGAGAAAATGGCTTTTGAATGTTTTGGTACCTACTGGAGAGCTCTTCTTTGTCTACACCCATTCAGCATCGTTCACACCCTCTTAAACTTTAGCCCCACCAATCTCTTTAAGGGTTCATCCGAGCGTTCTGTCCTAACAACAGCAGTCAAGCACCCAAGCTAACTGGCTAACGTTGGCAAGCTTGCTAGCTACTTCCAGACACAAATGAGAGAACAGCTCACTGACCATTTTACTTGCCCTAGCAGTGCTGGTAGGCTGTTTTATGTTATCCAGAGCGTTGGTGACTGCAACTGTGCTACTGGCAACAATTTAATTATGTTTTTTTTTTGCCAACGTTTACTGACAACCCCGGCCATATTCAACGGTGTTTGAGCTTTCGTATATTCGTCAGTTTAATCTGCGCTCTGGCACACTCAGACGAGAGTGCTCTGAAATCGGATTAGATAACCAGAACGAATTTACCAGCTACGTCTATCAACAGCTTAGCTGGCGCAGTGACATCATGAACATTCTATTGAAATGGATACTTGCATAATGGAGTCTTTTGTTAAGACATTTAGCTAGCTAGCTAAACAATGAACCATAATCCTAACTCATGACGTTACTACCCTGCATGAATCTGCAGGTAGCTACACAGCAGTCAGCACCCAAGCTAACTGGCTAATGTTGGCAAGCTTGCTAGCTACTTCCAGACACAAATGAGGG